ATCAGATTACTTTTTTCAAGTAACTAGATTGTCTCTATTCTCTTAATGAGTAATGGGCGTGTTTTGGGCATAATGTGCAATAAACCAATCAGAGTCTCATCTCCCATTCCCTTTAAGAGCCATTTGCGCTCATGCCATGGCGTATTTGCTATTTACACGGTGGAATTTGCAAGCGCAAAGACAGAACGTGTCTCCAGAGAGGAAACAGAGCTGCTCATGCGCGAGCAAATGGGTAGCCTAATTCTGATACATGCATTTCCCCAACACTGTACATAGGGCGTGTCCAAATCCACTTTTGCCAGTTTAACGACGGGAAAAACGGTCGGCGCGCCCGGCGCATGGTCTAAAAGGATTGTCTCTATTCTCTTAATGAGTAATGGGCGTGTTTTGGGCATAATGTGCAATAAACCAATCAGAGTCTTCCATTCCCTTTAAGAGCCAGTTGCGCTCGTGCCATGGCGGATTTAGCGCAGTCTATTTTAGTTGCCTCAAAATAGCAATGTGTCAACAAAGCGCCTGAACACACCTCGTTGTCAGACCAGCACGCCCATGAGCGCACAAATGGGCGCAAATGCATTTGCTATTTAAACGACATGGCGCAGGACGTGAAAATTATTATTGCGTCAGGCTTAAACTAGCAAAAAACACTTGCGTCGTGCCTGGCGCCACATTGCGCCAGGTGTATGATAGAGCCCTAAGAAGTCCCCGACCAAGAAGTCCTGACGCCGGTGGCTCAGGACTTCCGAGGGCAGGCCCCTCTGGGGAAGAGCGGTGTACACCTCATCATACGGTGCCAGTCTCTCCTCAGTGCCCTCAGGAGATTGGTCTGCCAACCATGCCACCTACGGTGCTTCAGGGCGCAGCGTCTGATCTCTCCTCGCCTCTGGGGGTCAAGGCTCACTCGACTCGAAGTGTGGCGGCCTCCAAAGCCTTTTTGGCAGGTGTATCCATGCAGGACATCTGCAACGCAGCGGGATGGTCCAGGCCCCTCACGTTCGTCAGATTCTATGACCTAGATATGCGAGCCACTCCTGGCTCTTCTGTTCTCTCGCCCTAGTTGTGCTCTTCCACACTGGCAGGGATTTGTAAGTCTGGCGGCGTGGGCATACTCATTCCCATAGTGTTTTCCGATGCAGCTCGAGATCCTGAAGGGGAACGTCTCCAGGTTACGCATGTAACCTTAGTTCCCTGAGGGAACGAGATGCTGCGTCTCAGTGCCATACTTCCGGCATCCCTGCGAGCGCTTGCTTCATTCCTCGAAGCTGACGCCGGTTTCACCACACGTACTTTTATAGCTTCCTGGTTGCTACGTCACCCGCTCGTGAAGTCTCGCCCATCCATTGGACTGATTACACACGTGATTCAGAGCGTAGTCACGCTAAAGGCGTTTCCATAGCATTTTCTGACGCAGCGTCTTGTTCCCTCGGGGAACTACACTCTTAAGAAAAATGGTTCTAAACAGTACCAGAACAGGGTTCTTCGGCTTGTAACAATAGCAGAACCCTTTTTAGTGCTAAATAGAACCTTTTTATAGGGTTCCGTATAGAACCATGCTTTAAAAATGCTATATAGGACATTAATGGTGTTATAAATAACCTTTTTAATGATAGTTTTTCATCAATATAAGTATATTAATATCATTAATATTAGTATTATTGTATATGTTATTTATTAATATTGTTTTTTACCCCTCTATCTGCTTGGTCTTATAATATCTTGAAGTGTCTATTAGGGTTTTACATAAATTGAACAGCAACAACAACAAATGTCAATTAGGTACTTTTTTTTTAATGACGTGAAATTGTAGCAAAAATGACAGTGTTATATATCTAACAACAGTCTAACAACAGTTAATAGCAGAATACATTAATGAATGACAATGGACATTGAACATAAATAAATGCTTAAAGAAGTAAAACAAAA